ATGGTGATGTTGATTCAACTGAAGAAAATTTCCATGGCAGAATATCTTGTTTCATTTGTGATTTGTTTGTCGATGGTCTTGTTAGCATTTATGCCATTTTTTCTCAAAGACATCTCCAATCAGCAGAATAGTTTATCATTTCTAAGCATTCTCTCCAAGAAGGTGGTAGAAACAAGCTAAATACCTAAATATATATAAATGAATTATTGTTTCATTATAATTAAATTATTATATTAAACAAGTTATAAAAATCACAAATTCTTTGTAAATAAATACAAATAATGAATAAATACATATAAATACTTTGCTAATGTATGTTTTTTAAAAATGTATTATACAAAACAGCATTGAGCCCAGTACAAGTTCAGTTAGGCTTATTTTAAATTAGGTTAAAAAATATTTTAATTTAAATATTATATAGTAAATAATAAATATAATTATAACTGAAGATTGTCAATACATCTATTATTATTTATTTGCGAAGGAGTTGGTCGGGGGGTGCGGTGAAGTTAAATATTACATATTACAAAGATATCCATCTAGTATAATATATATCTATCCACACCTATATGATATTATTTAATTTGACCGCATTCCTGACTAACTCCTTCTCAAATCATAATCAACCATCTCCACAATATTATTATGTATGATTTAAGGTAAATGTACAAGTAATAGACAATGTGCCAGAAATAGACAGTTTTCAACTCATTAACCGATAATAACCTTTATTTAACTTTCCCCATCTCTCCCAAGAAATGTTATTGCTATCTTCTTCTTGAAAAATGTTCAAGCGAAAGTAGAATTAGAAAAATCATAAGTTATATACAATTACACTTCCTGTGGCCTGGTCCATGTTCTTCCTCTTGTTCCCTTTTTTGAAAGTTTTTATTCAGAAAATTCATAACTGTCGAAATGAGCCCTCTCAAAAATTTAAAACACTGTACAAATGTCCCCCTCAAAAATTTTGATGGCGCAAAATGCGAATGAAACCCTCTTCTGGGCACCTCTGAATATAATTATATTTGGAGCTAGACCACTTAAGAGGGTGATGCCTGAACCTCAAGTGATATCATACAATAACCAATTGCCAGTTCATTTCTTAATAATGTAAGGCTGAAATTTGTTTCAAGGAGGATTCCTTATTACTATTGTTTAGGAGATAAGTTTAAAATTTGTATTCATTGATATGTGGTTTGCTATTTCCACTAGCGGATCCAGGATTCAATTTTGGGGGGGGGGCTTCAGCCCGAAAGCTTTTTTTTTCATAAAAATGGCGATAATTACCTTGGAAAAAAAGAAAGACACTAGCTATCTTTATGAAATGGTGTTTAAGTGGTTCCTTAAGTCCTTTTGAATGTAATTACACCAATAATAATACTTTAAGAGATAATTTTTTAATATATTTTCCCATAAAACATAGTTATATTTTACCATTTTGGGGGGGGCTTCAGCCCGAAAGCCCCCCCCCCCCCCCCCCCCCCCGTAGATCCGCCCGTGGCTATTTCTTAGTTTCACTCTGTAAAGAATTTATTTTGGAATCTTTCAATTATGAAAGAATCTATTTACCTTAAAAACCTACATTAGTGTATATTACTGGTACATAATACGCTGTAAGAATTCCTTAAGTTTTTCATGAATAATTAACCAATTGACTGTATATAAAAAAATGTGATGAAAGACTAAATTTGCTGTCAATTAAACCCAATCAATTAAAATGCAAAGATCCACCTTCAGAACTAAAACTGTAGTTCAAATTAATGTTGAAAATTTTTATTACCAGTACGTACATTTACTTTAATTATTATCATTTACATGAAATAAGTCTTAGTATGTAACAGTGATACAGTCATAATCCAAAGTGTATTCCAGAAAAAAAATTCAATTACTACAAAAAGATCTCAGATGGATTGTGTATGTTGGATGGTTAAGAAACATTTTATTATGAGCAGAAATATTGTAAATGACAAACAAGTTTAAACATCAATAAATGTATAATTAATTGAATAAAATTTAAATTATTCATGGTAATTGTATTCTTTATGTAGTAAATATATATTATAAATGAGCATAATGTAGTATACGTAGTTATTTTTATTTGTTTTAAGTGCTGTTTGTAATTTTGTAAAATATATAATAAATAAACTTGTGTATAAGTGCATTACAACCCAAATATACTATTAAAAAAAAATTTGAAATTCAAACTTGTTTTTTTTCCCTTCCTTTACTTTGATAAAAAAGAAGTATGATAAAAATATATAAAGATAAATTAAGCAATATATAAAATAAAATAATATGATTGAATCCAAATACCTATCAAAAGATTTTAAATGGAAGCCAGAGTTAAACTCAAAAGGAATAATTTGAATGAGGAAACCAAGAATGAATTATTCCTTTTGAACATGAATAGTTTTAGTGTTAGGACATGAATAGATAAAAAATTAATAACTTTCAACCTTTGAAAACAATTTAAGCAAACTGTTATAATTTGAATCAGATATACATTCAAATAATGTAAATCTGTAGTTAATAGTAGAGAGAGCCATGAACATCTAAGTGTTTAATTATAAAGAAAGAATTGGGTAAATGAAGAAGAACCTGTCACAGAAAAAAAATTCTTTCCCCATATTTAAACATTAAGAATTAAATAAATAAACAGTTAAACAATAGCACAATGTGAAAATTACAATTTTATTAATCGTTTAGAAGTTAAAACAGAATTGGAATAGTAGTTCCTGTAACTGATTTAAGGTAGTCCTGCACTATCGAACAAAAATTTTGAATAATAGCATTGACATCTAAAAAAAAAAGTGTACTATCCAATACATAAAAAAAAGTACTAATGTTCCAAAATCCCCTAAAAGAGGCCAGCACTATCCAAGGAACACTCCTGACGTTTTTTTTTCCTTCTCTTTATTGCTTAATTCACAACTGTCAGTTTTCACCCACAACCAGCAAATGTGATTATAGTAATCAAGTACAATGAAATAGAAAAAGAGCATGATAGGCATGAGGAGGAGAATCGCCCAGTGGCTTATAGGCGCTCATCCAGCGGAAACTATAGTTTGTCTTTTTTTTTTTACTGTCTATATAAGACTCTATATAAGGCCCACTTCCAGACATAACCCACCTGATCTTTTGGATTTCTTTGTCACCAAAGGAATGAAAACTATACCACATACTGTCAATACTAGCTCCGATCATCCCCTTGTCAATCTGCTGTTACTGGATGAACCATGTGAGGTAATAAGAAAACCATCTCTTATCAGCGGAACAATGGATTGGAATAGCTACAGAAATAACCTGGACACTGCTGTTTCCATTCCATTATCTACCAAAGCACAAGAACTGGAGGAAGCTGTAAACATTTTCGTAAAGAGCATCCAGGATGCAGCTTGGACATCTTCAGTACATAAACCTTGGACAACAGGAAATCTACCAAACTATCCACAGTACATAAGGGATCAGAGCCAAGAGAAGAGCTTGAAAAGTTTGGCAGAGGAACAGACTCCCAACATATAGACAGGTATTTAACAGACTAAAAAAACAATTAAAACGACAAATACAAAAATTCAACCGAGAAAAGTATAACATATACATCAACAATCTTTCAACAGATGATGGAAGCTTGGGGACACACAAAAAATCTGCTAAAACACCGGGAGGTGTAAGCATCACTTCGTAAAGATGATGGATACAATAACTGTTCCTGGGATGGGTTGGACTTACAAAAATCAGAACTTTTTGCAAACTATCTCTCATTAGTCACATTGAAAATTTGAAACAAAAAATAAATCTGTTTGTAAATATTGCCACTTAAAGTATGTATTAGTAATATAGTAAATTTGAATGAGTTATATACTAACATCCAAAACTTAAATTAGATACAAGATGTGTAAAATATTATCAAAGGTATAAATCAAAATTTCTGAATCCATTATATGTCAAGAATTTTATAGACTGCATTACGATTTCAGTTTTGTTACAGATTTTGGTATTGTAGGATTGCAAACATGTAATTATTTTCTCTGGTCAGACCATGAAAAGATATCATTTGTAAATGCAAATACAGAATTGTTTCAGATGCACCAGAAATAATATCAATACAGCACTATATTGTTATAAATTAGTTAAAATTAAAAGTAGTGAGAGTTAATCCCAAGAACTAAAACTAGAAAGATAAAATATAAGAATTATTTTTTCCAGAAAGTAAAATAAGACAATATTTCAGGGGCAATTAAAAAATATCTTACTTATAAATTAAAATAAGTTAATTATTAAAATTCAACTTTCTTTTTATTGAGGTCTCTTAAGCTATAACTTGAGATAAATCATAACCTTCTATTGATAGTCATTCAACTATTAAAAAGACTATCAATCAAATAGGTGGTATCGCACTTTTAAGTTTAATATTTTAAGAAAACAATTATGAGGAAGTAAAAATTAAATAAAAATTGTGTTAATATAATTAAAGAATAAATGTTAAATATGAAAATCTATAAAAAGTTTTGACTTATCAAAGCTTTTAAATGAAAATAACTCACTTCAATCCAACTTTCATTTTTGAAATTTTATTTGTATTTAAGTTAGAACTTATCTATTAGCCAATAATTGAATACTTCGAGAATGTTTTTCTTTTACAATTTCTATTCTCTGGCTAATCCTGTCTTCCTAAATGCTAGTGTACAAGTATACGTTTTTTTGGTACAGTAAATTATCAATTATGAATAGATCGTATGTGTTAGTTTCAAAAAATAAATAAATAAAGTTTATATGAAACCAGTGAATCTTACAGGATTATTTGATAAAGATTGAACCATAAAATGACTGATAGCTGATAGTCTAAAAATTAATGAAACTATCAACAACCAAAGCTATCAAGCTGTCACCAACTTTGCTCTCCAATTTAGAAAACCAAATCATAAAAAGATAAATATTTTAATACCAAATAAATGAAGTCCACTGATTGAGATAAAAGTTGCCACTTTATTGGTGGTGCCTAGGAATATATTTATCTTAGAAGACATTTCTTATTATGAATAAAAAATTCAAAATTCACTCATAAATTTTTTATTAAACGTTTACAGAGGTGAGGATTAAGTTAAAACATCACTTGGTCTGCTCATGTATTTTATTAATTAAGATTTTTTTTTCGATAGTAATTAAATATTACATCATGAAATAATTTGATTTATTTCATCTAATTATTTTCTATAAAATATTTTCATTTTATCTTAATTAAATCACTTCTCTGAGTACATTATTTATGTAGTAGAAAGACAATGGAATTATAACAAAACAATAAATATAAATATATATTTAAAAACAGGGAATGGTAACAATTATTATAAAATTATTTTACAACTATACATACAATTTAAATAAAAATTGTAATGACGATGACTAGAAATTTATGAGTTGTTGTTTTTAGAGAATGGTGGCAAGCCTGTTGACAAGTTTATCTTGAGACATTATATATGCTTTTGTTTCCCAAAGCATATTTACAAGCTTCGCATCTCCTTTCTCATCCATGGCGATATCTTCAGACAACTGCGGAGAAAATCTAAAGCAAAAGCATACATTTATCATTGTTTGAATTGTGAGAAGAAATGTAAATATGATTAAAAACAATGTACCATACTTAAAAGCAATCATAGAAAGTATAAAAAATCATTTGCTTAAGTATCTAAAATAAACAAATAATATGTTTTGGTTTTATATTGATTCATAGGTAAGTAGCAGCCATTAGATAAAACACGTCTTTGTTAATAATTTTAAGACATATTTTATACTTTTAGTTAATAACAGTTTATTTCAATTAAATCAAAGTACAATCTGATAATCAAGATCAAAACTTAAATCTGTTAATATATTAATTTTAACTTTTAGTTATATTCTTATTATAAGCATAATTTAACTCAATTATGAAGTTTTCAAATGATACACAGTTCTATGAATGCAAATAAATTACAAATATAAATTTAAATTATAAAAAAAAACCTTTACCACTACAACCCATGAAGGGTGGTCTTGGTTTCATTACTTTGTAAGGAAATACTATTTCAAGGCCAACAGATGAACAGGGAGGTGATTGGGTTGAGATCATGCTCATCAGCTAGATTTTCCCGTTAAATGAATAATTTAATTAAGAGTACCCACTTTATAGGGCTTGGATGTGCCCCAGCAGGAGAGTATCCTGATCCCAGGGTCAATTCACAGCTGATGTAACAGAATTAATAATTAGCTACCATACTAATTATTACTTTGAATAACATTACTTTGAATGTAGGAAGTCAATTTCTTACTTACTGAACTACCCCTCTCCCCTAGCTAGGTTATACCAAACAAAATAAAATTTATGTTTATTTTTTTTATTATGCAGGTTTGACCTATATTCTTCATTTAAAAAAAAATCATTTTATATGGCTCTAGCTCTTCACTGAAGTATTTGAAACCAGCATTTAAACGAATTTTTGTATTTTGTAACAAACTTTTTATTGAAAAGTAATAAAAAATCTAAAAGCATAGAAAATCAAATTTTATGTTTGAAAAAAAAAAATAAGCCAATGAATAAAATATTTCCATATAGTTTTGCTAAATTTATTATAATAATAAATTTACAAATAGGCTAAATAGTGGTAAAACTATTTTATTAAAAGAATTAATAAAATAGTTTTACCACTATTTAGCCTATTTATGACCGCCACCCTGGACCACCTCCTTCCTTTATAATGCAACGGTCAACTATTAAAAATTCAATAATAAATTTATTTTATTTTATCAGTAGTAAAGCTGAAACTTACCTGAAATACGGTTTTCCGAGCATAGAACATATGGCTCGAGTTCGGTCAATCAATCTTCCATCACTGAGTGTTGCTTGATCAACAAGAACAGCTTGCATTGACCTCATTCCTGACACTGCTCTTGCAGTTTCCCAAATACCAGAAGGCCAAAATACATCAACATTGTCAACCTGCAATATACGGTATAACTTGATAAAATGTTATCTGAAATGTAGAATGATGATGTTAGTTTCATTTTATAAAAGTTGAAGTGGAAGTGAAAATAAATTAATTTTTAATTGAGGGTAAATGGTTGACTGTCGTGAATAATGAAGAGAAGAATAGTTGGGGTGATCAGTCAAATAAGATTTCTTATTTCAGCCTTCTCAGTTTCTTTCCTCCTTCCTTTCATTCCTTTTCTCTGTTTTAACTCTTTATTATATTATATGTTGTCTGTACATCTTGATAGACTTTACAATATCCCAATTTTCTAACTAACTATTCTATGAGCAATATTTTAATTTTACTATTTATTTCCATTTCTTATATAACTTCATATTTCTTTTTTTCTGTTTTACATTTTATTCTAAGATTCCCATTTTAATACTTATGTCAACTTTTTTTATTATGTTTACTTCATCTTTCCACACTTTGTACCGGTTATTATTATTTATCTCTTAGTCCTTACTATTGTCATTATTTTAAGAACTGCATTTTACTTCAATTTTTTTACCTACACTACTTTCGTTTCTCATACCTTATTATCTGGTTCTTTTCTTAGCCCTGATGAAGGCCTGAACTTCAGGTCGAAACGTCAGCAAATGTCAAAATAAATATTATCATTTATTTTTGCCTTCTTATTTGACTGATCACCCCAACTATTCTTCTCTTCATAAATTAATTTTGTTTAATAGATTGGTTTTAGTTTTAGTTTTAATCACATAATCATTGATTCCGATTTTTGCCCATCTCAGTGCTTCCCACTTTGAAGATGTAGTATAATTATTACTTAATTTTTCAATTTAATGATGTAAATAATTATATTTTTAGAATAAACGATATTGACTTCAAAGAAATAGATCTGATTATAAGAACATATATTATCTTAAGTAATAACACCCATTTCAATAGATACAAAATGTGACATAATTTCAATAGTGATAAAAAATATATGAAGTATATTTTAAAAATCACAAAGAAAAAAAAATAAAAATTTAAATATACATTTTTTTACACCCATAACGGCAAAAATGAGAAAAACAAAAGAAACAAAAAATCAAATGAAGAATACTACAGGAGTTACTTTGCTTTTAAATATGTTAATAGAAAAAAAAACAGCTAAGTATTCATAAGTAAATACCATAATGATGTAGAGATGGTTGACCGTTGATATAATACGAGAAGGAGTTAGTCGAGGGAGCGGTCAAATAAATAAAAAATTAAAATATATTAATTATTTTAATTTTTGCCGACGTTTCGAATTCAACTGCCTCCCGCAGTGCCACATCCTACGCCCTGAAGACGGCCTGCAAAGTGGGTCGAAACATCGGCAAAAATTAAAATAATTAATATATTTTAATTTTTTATTTATTTGACCGCACCCTCGACTAACTCCTTCTCATAGTAAATACCATATAATCATAAAATTAGTACTAATATAAAAATTAAAAAAATATTATAGCTGTATATTTTTTTCCCTTTAACCATGAAAAAATGTCTTTTAATATTAAACATTTAATTTAATTGATTTTAGTATGTAATATACAGACATTTATGTCAATGATCAGAAATTTCAATTTTTCTGTACAATGAAATTATTATTTATCAAATATATTTCCAATAACAAGTATATGACTAATGTATGCTGAAACATTAAGTTACAAATGTCTGGGCAGTTAAAAAAACATTAAAATTACAGTGACTTGCGACCTGTTTCTAAATTTCAATACCTAATATATTCTAATTTATTATTTGTTTCATGATTCAAGATACTGTTTTATCATAATTTATCTTCTATCCAATAATATAAATTTTAACAATGATATAAGTTATAAAATTATGATAAAAGAAATATTATAAAGGGATAAAAACATCACTAACTAACCTTTGTTAAAGGTACAGATCCTGTCCCAAGGGACACAACAACGCTAACATCCTGAGCTTCATTTGCGCGGCTCATATGTCGCAGGGCAGTATTTACCTCATGAATCTCAGTCAAAGCATCTAATGTTGGGTTGTTGCCAATCAGCCCTCCATCAACAAATCGACCAAATGCTCTATAAAAAAAAAAAGATGATTAGTTATAAAGATAAAGGAGCCAAAAAATATTATTTATATATTCAGGTTTGGATCACATGAAACAATTGGGACTAACAGTAGATTCACGAAATTAGGTAATTGCATGCATTTTAATTTGAATTCATTGTTGAAGACTAAGTTTTAACAATACAATTTTTAAAAAAACCCGAATTTTTCTGTTGCATATTTGGAAACATAATATTAAAGAAAAGTGGTTGAAATAGAGCTAGATGGAATAGAATGGAGAAACATTAATGTCATTATATGCATAACATTGGATGTCTTACAATTTTTTTTTTTTTTGTTTTGTATGTAGGCATTACAGAATGTAGATCTTTTGCCGCCTTAACAAGCCTGCTCCATCTCTGCCTGTCTTGGGCTATTTCTTTCCATTTATCTGCACGCAGCTCTATTGCATCTTTGTTGATTCTATCTATCCATCTGCATTTTGCTGCGTGGTCTTTTGCCTTCTATTGAGGCATTCATAGTTACGTAGAGGCTTCCAGATGGATTGCTAAGAGCTACATGCCCTGCCCATCTCAACCTTAGTATCATGGGATATTAATTGACCAGTTTCTGTAAGCAGTTCTTTATTGGTCTTTCTTCTCCATGTGTTAGTACTCTAATCCCAAATCGCTCCGGTTATCATGCGGAGAATTTCTCTTTCAAATCTTTCAACAATTTTTTCTAGGGTTGTGGTTAGAAACCAGATCTCACAGCCATATACAAGAACTGGCTTTATCATATCACTGTACACCCTTAATTTGAGATTTCTTGAGATTTTTCGGGATTTCAATACCTTTGAAAGGGAGAAGAAAGCTCTGTTTGAGCTAGTTAAACGCTGGTCTAACCCAGTTGTCTTCTCTAACCCTGTTGTTTTAAAAATATTTAGTTTAGAAATGAATCATATTAGTAGCTTTTGTAAATGCATGTTAATAAATTAGAGCTGAGGGACACTTTGATATCATCATGTTTATTCTATGTATCATACAAAACTGGACATAGACCACACACACAATCTCCACCACACCTCCAAGACACAGTATTATTTTAAATTTTAAGCTAACTATGAACCTTTTTTTTGTCATTTAAAAATTAATCTAAATCTTATCCATCTTTCTAATAAACAGTAAGTAATATTTATACATCTAGGACAAGATAACAATTATAACAATCATTAGCCTATTGGGAGAAATGGTAGATATTACTCAATAAGTAATATTGCTCACAAAATAATAACTATATAAAAATAAATAATCTATATAAAACTCAATAATACAAATTTTTAACTTTTGAAGTGCATTTTTATTATCAACAAATACTAGATCCAATAACAAACCTGAAGTAAGATGGCGCAGCACCGCTGGCCCTTGCAGCTTCCCAGAGCAACTGTTTGTCGTATGGAGTGAGTGGTTCGAATTCAGGTCCAGATTTCCGTTCTAATGGAACACCCAGGATCTCCTGTGAACCCTGATAATTCCTGAATACATGAATATCCACGGGCTTTCGATCAGCCAAACACCCAATAATCATCAACCTATCAATTAAAAACAAATATAAGTTGAACAGAGTAAAAAATGCAATTAATAAAAAGAATAAGATAAATAAAGATGTGCTTTATATTATGAAGAAAATAATCATGGATGGATAACAAAAGGGCTACAAAGACATGGAAAATATTTAATTATTATTTTTTTTTATAAGTGAACTGGAAACTTTTACTGCAATACTAATTAAAAAATGCTTTGCATCCAAAATTAATAAACTTAAAATTGAAAAAAACTTGTTTGATTTATCAATTCATACAATATATAATCGACTATTTTAGCTACGTATACCTAAATTATAGGGAAAGTATCATAAACAATAATATTTTTAACAAGATATCACTTTAATTACTAATTTTATAGTCATACAGAGTTTATAGATTTTTAGCTAGATTTTAATTAAGAAAGTTTGCCAATGTGGAAGTCTTACTGCATAGTCTAGCGGTGCCTCTCCCAATATATTAAATATATCAAATATTCATGGGTTAAGTTCAAGATTACATGGTAGATATCTTATTATGAAAAAAGAACTACTGTACAAATTTGAAAATAACTGAAGCATTTAGAAGTTCATTTTGTTGGAATAAAAGATAAAGTGGTAAACATCAATTCTTGTTTAAAAACAAGTTATTGTCTTTCATTTTCAAACAAGATATCTACTTCTTAAACTTCAAGAAAATCAGCTCAATGTCATAGGCTAATTACATTTTTATTCATCAATATGAAATTCTTCAGCATAAGGTATTAGAAGTATGAGGGCACTTTTGAAATAATGAATATCATGATTTAATTCAAGGAATATCGCTATATTAATTATTTAATAAACTGGCTACTCACTTTGGATGTTTAATATCAATCATCGTCGTATCTGTTCCAAGGGTCTCTTTCAACATTGTTTCTAGAGGTTCGCTGGCATACGGCCTGAACCCGGCAAATGCTTGGTCCTTCAGCCTGAAGTACAGGCATAGACATTCCTTCAAACTTTTACCTAAAAGAGAAAGTGCATGATATAATATCTATAACAGATATAATGTATAACAATGCAATATTAGTAAATAAAAATAAAAATATGTTTTCTTCAAATATGATTATGATTTGAAGATATAAGCAATCATATAACTAATGAAGCATGAAATACACCAAAGCAATTATTACTCAGAACAGGTAGGCTACGTTTTTTACATGAGTCTCATCAAGTCACAGCCAATTAATATTATTTTTCTCATACAAATAATTTAAACTTAAATATTTAATTTACATAAAAATATTTCAATGTGACAAAGATGAGAATAGTTGGTTAATTACTTCTATGACAGACAAAACAATAAATTCTGTTTTTATAATAAAATTTGTACATCTGTTTTATGGTACATCCCCAAGAAAAAGTTAATTTTATTATAGCATAAGTCAAAAAATATACATTTTATGGAAACTTATACATACACCCCTTGAATGGTACTTAAATTCTCAATAAAACAAATAAATAAATAAAATCAACTAGATTAGACCAGTAAGCGATGATATAGTGTATTGAACTTAACAATTTTTTCTTAAAGAATTCTGAGCATATTCCCATGAAAAACCTGAATAAATAGAAAACTATACATCACCCAGAAAATTTCATAGTCTTATTTGAAAAATAATTAAATCTGTACAAAGGTAAACTTCATAAAAAAAAAAAAAAAAAAACATTTTAATCAGATAAATATATAGCAAATAACTTTTGATTTTCACTTTGCCCCTGAAGTGGTAAGGAAAGTCGTATGAGTGGACAACACTAGATACTTTATTAAAATTACAGTAGGCAGATATATTGTAAAACACACAAATAGGTAAATAAAGTTTAGCACATAGGTAAAAACAATAAGCACTGTTAATAATTCAGCAATAAGCACAAATGAAATTTTTAAAACAATCTGAGTACCTGCGGCTAAAGCAAGGGCAAGTATGGCCCCAGTGGAAGTTGCCGCCACCCAGTCAAAGCAGTGGATTATCGGTTTACCAACAGCCGCTTCCAGGTGGAGAAGAAGGGTCACCAGAACTAAGCCCCTGATACCACCTCCGTCCAAGCAAAGCAAACGGCATCCTTTTGAAGGTGTAGCGGTTAGTGTTGAAGACTAATGTTCACAAACAAACTTCTTAATTAAGGGCAACTACATGGTTTTAAATTGTTTAAAAAGATACAAATGTCAAATTTAAAATGAGCTTACTGGAATGAATTTATTAAATAAGAATTTGGATTATTAAATATCAGATTAACGCTCATATGATACAATAGTTTGAGACGAAATAAATGGTATGGTCAGACCCGATCCCCTTTTTAATAATGATTTTGTAAAAAAAAAAAAAAAAAAAGCTAATGATACAATGTTGTTGAATAATCGCAATTATTAGCCTAATAAATTTCTATCTATCTATCAATCTATCAAATTTACTCTAAATAGATTCCTCAGAAATAGAATGACTCATTTTAATAAAGGTTTTTTTCTCAACTTCAAAATACTTTTTGGTAGGAATGGTACTTTGGTATTTTAATAAAAGAAAGAAGGAATACCTGAAAAAGATCAGGGCACTAATAAGTTAATAATATTTTACATTAAAAAAAAAAATAATTTAAGGAAAATATTAATAAAAAATGAGATTTTTCTTAAGTAAAAAGGAAATTTCAATGGCACGTAAATTTTAGATAAAGAAGTTTAAAATGTATAAAACTCAAAGAATTTAAGTCTCAAAAGGAAAAGGTGGAGATTATTTATTTAGTTGAGCGCTAATCAGAATTATTTACAAAAATTTTATGAGTTTAAGGGATTTATATAGCAATATAAATAAAATGCTATCAGTATTTGCTATTTAATTTTAAATTAAATAATTAGTTATAAGCATTTACATTAATTTCAAACAACTATTGAAGTAATGGAATAGAGCTTTTATTTATGTAAAATTAGGGAGAAACGTATCATACATTTATGTTATTATGCTAAGAGCAAAAAAGCAATAAAAGCCATAACAAAATGCTATTTCTATACAGTACTATATACTGTTAAGCTTAAAAAATATCGGTATTTTCTTACATCATAATTTCGATAATATTATAAATAAGGAACAAGAAATTCTTGCACAATATAAGCATACCTGTAAAAGAGAAGAAACTGCTCGGTGGGCAGGTCCGGGAGCTGGAGATGGAGGAATACCATTTTCTGTACCATCTGGTGCACATCCAGGATGGCAAGACGCCATCAAAAATGGACATCTTGCTGCCCCGACAGCGTGCAGGATATAAAGAATCTTGGCACTCATCTCGTTGCTGTCTGAAGCAGCCAGGTGACGAGCAGTCATACCATCATTATTTCTACAAACAATACAATATGTTATCCTCTTCTACAAAATTGAAAGTTTTATCAAATTATTTGGAGAATAAAAATTAATCAGTTATATATTGAACTTTATGTGAATCAATAAAAATTAAAAATCCACTTTTTTTAACTTTAAATCTTATCTTGTGATTAGTAATTTTATTCCCGATATAATAATCCCTCATATAAAATTCGTAAACACTAGCACTTATACCCTACATATCTAAACCTGGCATTGTTAAACCGAAATGAAATAATTCATTGTTTGAAACACAAGATTAAGAGTACAGAAAGGACCATTTCATATATGAAAATTTTCATATGTCATATAAATTTAAATTTTTGTCATATATTGTATTTCTGTATTAATGAATTTGTATTCGTGCTCTTCAATTTTGAGTTATTTTTGTCGTCTTTCTTTTTTTCTGCATAATTATAATGCCTGAGGCCAGGAATAATAGTCCGAAAATGAAAAGTAGTAGACCACTACAATGTTAATTTTGATTGATGAAATTTTTTTAATGAATTAATGGTTTTTTAAGCTATTTACTCTTTAAAATTCAATTAGCCAACCAATCTAGTTAGAAAAAAATCTACAGCCCATTATTATGTTTTATTAAACTCAGGGTTGTACACACACACAAAGTTTAATTTATACAGGAAATTTAATTTAAAATGAAATTGAATACTTGTATAAAAAATAAATTGTGCAAATTTTAGATGCAATAGAATTCAAGTGATAAAAGAGGTATATAAGATCGCGAGTGTACTTTTTAAGTAATAAAAAAAAAAAAAATTAGTGAAAACTTTAAATAACAGTGCATCAGAAGGTATAGCCCGAATCCAATATAGTGTGACACATCTGGCTGCCAAACACGACACTCTCAAACAGCTGTGAGCTCTACTTTATAAACACTCAATTATAAAAGTTAATAAAATACATTTTAGAATAAATATTTTTACTCAAAGATCAAAGCGTAAAAGAAAAATAGGGAAGATATTTCTTGAAATTTTGAGCTAGAAAATGGCAGCATTTTATACAAACTCCACTCTTCTGACAGCTCCATCTTTACCATTTGTAATGTTCTTTTATTTTTCTATTTTTTATTATAAAATGATCTTCACAGACGAATAAAAATTCATGCAACTATTGAAATAGAATGTAGAGAATAAAAAATAATTAAAACTCACAGAAGAGCTAAGTCTGCTCCGAAAACGATTAATGCTTGAACTATTGGAATATTTTTTTCTTTGACTGCTAAATGAAGAGCAGTGTCTCCATTAGAATCTGCTATTGACATGTCAGCTTCCCTTGAGAGCAGAGCTACTACACATTCCAATCTATTTTTTAATACCTATAACAAAGAAGGCAAACCTAACAGGATATACTTCGATGAGAAAAAAATAACTCTACTTTTTTACTTAAGAAGTTAAAGGAGAGAAGTTGGTTGGGGTGTTCAGTCAATGAAAGAACAAAGTAAAAAATAAACAAATAATATTTATTTTTGTCCTTTATGCCAGCATTTCGGCCTTCATCAGGGCGATTCGCTCGAAAGATTTCACACAAATAGATTTGTAATTTATTTATATAATTATATCATTTATTTATTTTTTACTTTGCTCTTCCATTGACTGAACATCCCAACCAACTCCTCTCTAAATATTTTTTTACAATCAACTATTATCCACTACCATAAATAGGCAAAGGTTGGTCAAGCATTAAATATGTACTTCTTTAATTTCAAATATCATTTACTTAATTTAATATTTTTCATTATAAAAATATTTATTTATTATTAAATTATATTATAGAATAATTTAATTTTTCTATAAGTATAAGAAAAACTTGTAAGTCTATTTAACATAATTTAAGAGAGAGGCACAAAAAAAAACTACGCATGTTATAGGAAAGGTTAAAAAGTATTGAGTTATTTCTTCAGCTAAGAGAAAGAAAACGGGAAGACCAAATGATTTAAAATTCAATCCAGAGATCAAAAAATGTCCCAGGTATCAATGTTATTATTAGCAGACTTTAAATTAAATTAAATTTACAGTTGATATACTTTATATTTAAAATAATGTACATATTTGTATTTTTATAACGAAAAATTATAAAAACATTATTTATTATCAAAGCAAATGAATTTAGAAGTACAGGAGATTCTGAACATTTTCTGAAAAATTAGGAGAAAATTTTCCTTGTTGATCCTCGTGTCCTAGTTGATTTATCAAACGGTCAAAACAATATCAAATAAATTAAAAATTTAATCAAATGGTAAGGAAAAATTCTAAATTTTCCTATTCAAATTATATTATGATTTTTCAATGACACTTAAATTTTTGATTGGATTGAGCCTATTAGTAAAAAAATAAATAAATAAATATATGTTTTATTTTATTTTAGAATGAATGACATGGCATTTTAGATTGAATTAAATGTTATTTACCAATGAAAAAGTTGTTGAGAAATAATTTACACAGAAATTTCAGTGAAAGAAATGGTGACAAGTTTGATGCAAAAATATGTCATTAATTGCTTGTTATAATACCCCAGTAAGGTTATTCAACTCATCAATATACAAAAATAACTATATAAAAGAAACTTTGATTGGTTTGAATTAAACACATTTATAGTTATGCCATAAATAGTTTTATGACTGCTGTTAACTTCATGCTAAATTTTTCATAAAACTTTATAAATTCTTCAAAACTATACTCTGCCATAAGATAAGTTCATGATTATGATCACCATTTCAGTATAATGAGATTATACACAACTTTTAAAGTGGAATATATAACAAATAGTATTCACAAAATCACACTAAATGAGAAAAAAAACTAACTTAAACTATTTATTTGAAGATAAGTAAAATAAGAAATAAAAATCAAGATATAAGATAGATGAATAATAACAAACCATGACATGGAGGGCGGTTCGAGAAGCAAAATTAAGGGCATCTATATCACAATTTCTATCAAGAAGAGCATCGATAACTTCCTTAGAGGCAGCCCAATGCAAAGGAGTTCCCCCATACTTCATCTCCTGAAATGTTAATAAGAATGAATAAACAAAAAATATATTCAAATATATCTTTTTATTGATTAAGTAAAAAACAACAAATAAGTCATATTAGTAAACTGTAGATCAGGACCAAATCATAGACCAGATTTACTTAGAATAAATTATCCTAAGATAAATACTTTAAGCAAGAAATATTTTTAAAACAAGCAATTTTTTTTATATTTTGTTAGTTTATTAAAGAAAATTATAATAATAATAAAGTGAATATCATGTTTTGAAGGAACATAACAAAATTTAAAATATACTATATTGTGATTATTGCAAACCAATATCCCCACATATATTACAGTAAGGCTCGAAATCTGTTTTGTACCAAATATAAGCTCCTGTCATGCTCAAATACCATGACTCCTTCAGGTGGGCAAAATAGTCCAATCACCCCGAAAATTCAGGCAAACAAGTTATGAAAGAAAACAAACTTTATTTGTGAATAACTAAAAAATTACACACTTTTCCCTTGGTTATGCCCATGATTATATAAAAGATTACTAAATTCCCTACAAAAGGAAAAAAAAAAATCATCGAAATTGATTAGAAATTTTCCCAATATTTTTTTTCATTTTATTATTTATCTTTTCTTACTTTCGTTTAATATTCATTAGGAGAGTTCTATTATAGGCCATTTCATTTTAAAATACCTCTATATATTAGGCATATAACAAACCTATGTATCAGTACAACGTTGAAATAATTTGTACTGACCGAAGGAGGAAAGTGGGTTCAAATATTTTTTTTAAGAGAAAACAGAATTGAGATTTGTATTTTGTACCTCTATAAAACCTCAAATAGGAATTTTCATAGAAATAAAAAAATATATATTTTTTTTTTGCACCAAATCGGAACCAAGTCCCCCCTTTGATCTTCTTTCGAAAATCACAAAAAGTGGGGTAACATAAAAATGACTCCACGTATCCCCACAAAAATTTACATTAAGTTAGCACTACATAAGCTATACGAACCAGACCCCAGTCAATATAATAGAACAACAGATATAAAACAAAAACCTTTGAGGAGTTTTTCTATATTTGTTGTTTTTAAACACGTCAAATTTAAAAGTTATTAATATGGTATTGAAGAGTAATAACTCAGCTTTCCAAAGATCACAGATACACTGACTTAGGAGAAAATCTTGAGGAGTTATGAATCATATACTGAATAGCAGAGGGAAAACAATATGCTAATTGGCATTTGATAACAATATGCTGTGCAAATTTTTCGCACGGGCCTACTAGTGATTATTAATATCAATATCATTATTTAAATTTTAATACTACAAATTGATTCTCACAGCTTTTCAAGAGTTAAAAAAAAAAATAACTACTTTAATGTGTAATGGGTTCCATCAAATAATTTATAGCATATTTCAAACTCAAGACATCTTAAAACATATTTTTGACATAAGCATGGTAACCATTCAATCAGGATTGAAGAAACTAATAAAGTTACCCACTTAATTCATTTTAGTCAAATACTGAGTCAGGGATGTTAGAATTTATACATTATACAGAGATATCATGTATATATAATTTTTTTTAGCCTAAAACTTCTTTCTGAACTCCCTGAAGGCATACAGAAAATAAAAAGTTGATACTATTATATACTTAACATTTAACGTTAATAATAATCAAAGAGATGAAGATTTGGATAGCTGTCAAGAATAATCCTAATACATAGTATCTACTGCTTTTTAAAGTTATTCCAGACTGCCATCTGGATCATCGTAGAAAATAAAACTGTTATTATCTCATAAGAACCAACTGAATTTGGGCATTTTAAATTGAAGATACACTGCAGTTATAAATTTTATTGGAAAGTTGTATACATTTTCTAGGAAACAGAATAAAGGATTAAAAATTAAAAAGGGATAGACATTAACAGAGAGAAAAGAAAATTAATGTTTGATTGCTAAGAAGCTATCATGGTTATTTTTATCTTTATTGAAGATTATAATGCAAAAAATATAAATTTATATTGTGTTCGAAGGTTTATTTTCTGTTTAATAATCATTACTTTTGGTATAATCACACTTACAAGTTTATTTCAATAAAAATAAGAACTTTTTGATAGTAAAAATATATGCTTTTTAAACTAAAATATTCAAAGATATCTATTTATCCCCAAATAGGGAAAATAAAAATGGATTAAACTATGACTTAATGCACTAATATAGATAGATAATTGGACAGTAGATTAATAAATTAAATAAAAATCAAATCTCACGTTGGAACGCACTTACAGACCCAATTGTTTAAATATTTTACAGAAATTATTAGGATAATTTCACTAACAATGTTTCTGAAAAACTGACATACGAATTTCTTTACAAAAGAGGAGTATTAAGAAATTCGAAATTAAAATAAAAGCCCAGAATGACTAAAAAAGTTACTTGAATGTAAATTTCATTTGAAGCCAGCCCCCTCGAATAAATTATAAGGTTCCCATTGTGCTATACCAAAAACTTGTACATAATTTGATTAAAATTCTAATACAACTATGTTAATAGAATGTATCTTACCTGAGGCTGAAGTTTATTAGAATAATCATTTACTAAATCTCCAACCAATCCTGGTGGTGTTGTAGACGAACCAGGAGAACCACCTGACAGGTTGACATCAGCACCACTCACAAGGAGAGCGGTTACACATTCAGGCTTGTCATTAAGGCATGCAACATGGAGAGGAGTTTGTCCGTTCAAATTTCGGATATTTAGACTTTTTGTATCACCACTTGATAAAGCCTAAAGACATAATGAAATCAGCTATAATTTCAGAAACATTCAACAAAAAATAATTATGTGTTTATATTATATAGTAAGGAATTCAGTTATGAATAAAAAACATTTCTGACTAATAGTGAACTCACATTAATAATATCTCTATTTTGAGTGGCAGCAAAATGGAAGACTGAATTTCCTTCATGGTCCAGATGACCAAGAGAAGCGTTGTTTTGCATTAACTTGACAACCATATTAAGGTTTCCTTCTTTTACAGCCAACTGAAGAGGTGATATGCCGATTATTGGATCGATGGCATTAATTTGACTGGTAAAAATAAATAAGTAAATTTAGAAAACCAGGAACTTATATCACATTTTAAAATAAAATCAATTTAAAAAAAAAGAAAACACTTAATGCTAATAATTATAAGAAAGTTTTAGTGTCTAAAAACATGAACAGTAAGTCAAACATAAGTGATTCAGCTATCAAAAAGGTCAATGTTCATATACATGGACACATAGAAAGACTTTAATCATAAATGTTACAAAAATTTCGAAGAAGGATTCTATGAATGTTAAAATTAAAATAACTTTGACAACTTTCCAATAATGATCATGACTATATTATATGTTGATGGTTAACATTTCATCAACATTAATGCAACACACATGAAAACTAAATATAACCAATTAGTAAACAAATTAAATTTAAAACAGTATTGACTCACCTTAACACTTCAGGCTTTGTAACCGCATCTATTAGGTTAAAATAAATAATTAAATGGCAAATATTCCAGGATGGATTATCTTGAAGAACTGTACAATATTTTTGAATGACTCCAAGAGACTGAAATGCAACAAGAAGTAAGGTTGAAATTACAATGACATTCCTAGTACTTTATACAACTATGTATAATGAAATACTTACAATAGATGATACATTACACAAGAAAGGCAATTTATCCTTAAGTATAATGAATCTGTCTTCAGCTTCGGTCCTCACCTCGGATCGAAACAAACTAAAACCAGATGACATTGATATTTATAGTCAGTCAAATGACATATTTCTTTAATGATTGTTTTTTACACATAGAAAAAAACTAATGGAAAAGATTAAACACCTGAAAGCTTGGGACAAAGATTCAGAGCAAGGCCTGTGCATAATTATTTCATATCTTGGTTCATTTTCTGAGCAGGAATACAGAACAATGGAATCCTCTCGAGAAATAATTAATCTATCACTGTACTTTTCAGATTTTACTTCCACAACCCTATTAGGGTTTGCATCACCAATTTGCAAACCCCTTTTTATAAGATTTCCAATCCAAGCCATTCTTTTTTCTGTTTAAATAACACTCCACAATGGGTAAACAAAATTTTAGACAGAAAAATAATTTAAATATGTCAAATACATTGTTTTCTCACAGCAACATAACTACAAGAGGATAAATTCAAAAGATAACTGGCTACTAGACTAGAGTACAAAGTGAGCGTAAAATCAACCCGGCTATCAGCTGATTGTCCACTGACAGTGAGTGAGTCAGATACGATTCAAGTAGTTGTAGAGATAGCATAATTTTGAATTTTGACCTTCAACCAACTGATTTAGACTTCAAATACAATTCATTAACTTTAATTATCTCTTACTGAATGTAAACTTATTTTTGTACCTGAAAAAAAAATTATTATTACTAAAAGATATTGAACAAAATATAAGAAATACATAGTAAATATGGGTATTGCAAAAGTAACTTTTCTTACGACTAGAATCTCTCAGGAAGGATGGAATGACGGAAGTTCCGTCATAATTTCTGAGAGGTGTACATTTTTGGGGAGTTTTGAATTTTTAGAGAACCAAATTTAAGGGGGTTTCGATTCAAGGGAATTTTGAAATAAGATTACAAGGAACATACCACAGCAAGTGTAACCATAAATAAACTACATATTTTATAATTCTCCCTTAACTTACACTATTTTAAGAAGACAAAAGCAATAAAATGTGTGTTAAAATGTGAGGGAGGAGGGACATGATCCATTTCCCCATAGTTAAAATTGCCGTGGAAAGATTTTTTTTTTTCCAATGTCGTAGTCATTGGTCATTCTACCATCCGACACCTTGCTGCCAGTATAAGTTTGATTTTTTTATATATTCATTCCGTGGAAAGATAGGTTTATAAAAAGCTGGGTTTCAAGGGTATATAAACTTCACGAGATAAGAGCGGGCTAACGAGTGTGCATAGCACCGCTCGTTGCCTGGCGACCTGATAACCGAAATTGGAAACAATAAAATAATTACGAATTCGCATCCCGGTACCTGGGTGGGCTTTTAACTCTAGTATTATTCCTTCGCCCTCACCTCCTGCCCCGGGAAAACCCCCGTATAGCCTAAAAGAACGAAGTAGGGCAGAAACGAAAAAGGAAAAAAAAAATCGCGAATTTGTTCTTTATAAGTTTGATTGGTCCAACTTCACAGTGCGCGAAATCAAAAATTATATGAACAAGAATAAAGTCCAAAACATTTCGGGGTATAAAATGTTATCAATAATTGAGAAGACGAAAGCTACGATTATTTTATACCTTCTAATCTTTCCCTGACTGAAAAATAGTTATTAAAAAACTAAATAACTCCATAAATAAATAAATTAAAAATAAACACGTTTAAAAAGTATTTGAACCTGCATGTTTTTAATAATACAATTAACTAATGTTTTTTAAAAATTTCTTGTGTTGTATCCATTTATATTAATGCCTACTAGTAAACGTTTTGGTTTTGAGAAAACAAGATATTTAAACACTGTAGATCGATATTACTCAACCATCCGAGCAAAACCTATGTTAAACGTTCGTTTGGAAGTAATGGTATGCTTTCGGATGTAATGTTCTATAATGTGCCATGCATTATTAACTACATTAATATCTGTACTGTGGTTATGTGCTGCGGCTTATGAATTTTAATTATCTATGACTTTTCCATCCACAATTCTTGACCACTGTTTTTTTTTTTTTTTATATCATTGCGCAAAATGTATAAATACCGTTAACATTAAAAATACTGTTAATCAGAACAAGTTTTTCAACCGTATGAAACGAAACACACCTTCAAACAATAACACGCCCCTCTTCATATTTTACCATGGAGCTAACATTTAATCGTTCTGATCATTGATTTGGTTTTCGCCATGTAGACCTATATTTCCTTCTCTCGTTTTCACAAATTTGCTAATGCTACATGCTGCTAGAAACAAAAAATCAAAATGTAAATCGCACATTGTTGTACGCAAAAAGTTACAGTTTAAAATATAAGCAGTTCTCTGTTTAAGTGACGTTACTGATAGAATAGAAGTAGATTATGAGTGTCGAAAACAGTGTAAAATTGGGTGGAAAAAAAGGCATCATTGAATACTTTCTTAATTACACTAGATAGTAAAATAAAATAATTCAGACCTTCCTATACTGTTCAATATTATGGTGGTATCATAATGATACAGAACGACCTAACTTTTCTTCGAAATATGAAAGATTTAAAAAGGTATTTAACAATTTTTTTAATTGCTCACAGAGGTGCTCAGAAGGGAGTTTCATGGCACAATTTGTGGCATAAAATATTTGAGGAGGGGCATATTTTGACTAGTTTTTGAATTTTTGAGGAGGGCAAATTTCAACGGAGTTATGAATTTTCGGACTAAGGGACAAGGAAGTAACATAGAACAGACCACAGCAGTGTAATTGTATATGATCTACGATTTTTTAAATTCTACCTTAGATTCATCTGTTTTTAAAAAAAGGTGAGCAATAACATATTTTGGGAGGAGGGGAGAAGATAGGTTTTTGCGCCATCGACTTTGGGGGAAATGGACACCCCTGGGTGCTCAACTGGCATAAATTGGCAATTGGCATTGCTCAATTGGGCCCTAGGATTATGTATGCGTTTTTTGTCAATTAAATCTAACTTAATGGTACAAACACGTTTCTCATCATAATCTCGAACTTTATTTTTAGTCATTTGTCACGCTAAATTAGCAATCGGCCACACCGCGGTGCACCATGCGGTAGCTCGCATTTAATTGTGTTATCATGCGGTGCGAAATACCAAAAATTTAGATAGTTAAGTACCTAAAAAATTACCATATAGACGAAAATTAAAAATAAATCTTATGATGTTCATCAAATAATTCTAATTAAATATGATAAAAGTAGATATTATAGACTACAACTGTTCAATCACAAAAGTCATTACTTTTTCGTCACTCTTCATTACCTGCTACTTCATATGGCTGAAATTAGTTTTCCTAAACTATATAGCACTAAATAAGAGTATATACAATACATTACAACTCTTATTTCTGGAACTTTGTTTTCAACCTGCGAAAACATTTTTCCCAATTTATTCTTTTATTTATTTCTAAATTTCTTAATAGTTCTTTTTATCCATTCGTATTACTACAAACGATGAGAGACTTATAATTATTTATAATAAACAATATTACCCATCTACACTCACCAATGTGCCAAATGTGACGCTGCCCATCTCAGGGTCCAACACCTATCCCAGTGTCAAAAATACCGAAAAAACAAAACAAATAAAACTCAAAATTTAACACAAAGCTACATAAAAAAGAAAATGGAGGTATCCAAACGACGTTTAAGTACTAAACATTAACGAATTTAATTCAATATATTTAAGATGAGCAGTCGTCACAAATGGTCATGCAAATTTATTTAAGTATTTTGACCACTAGGGTCACTTACACCGTAGTCTCTGTAGTCTATTTTGAGTCATTATATTTTATTGTATATGTTGATCGTTTTTAAAAATTGTATAAATCTTGAAATCGTTTTGGGGTCCTGTCTCAATATTTGTTCTGAATTTGTACAAAATCTGTATGAGTCATGTGCCATACAGACTACAGCCATACTCTCCTAAATAAGTATAGTACTGTTGGATTACAACCACATTAGGTAATAAAATAAACAAACTAAATAAACAAATAAATAAAACTATGGGTACTTCAGAGGAAGAAATTTTGGAAATTTGACATTTAAGGTCTGTCAAACTATTTCAATGAGACCGCTTAATTTTACTACTACATAAATGTAAATAAAACCGTTTAAGCCATCTTTAAAAAAATATATTAAAATGTGTGAAATCTAGAATACAAAGTGTTACTTTCGGTAGGGCTATTAGTGTAAAAGTTGCCGTTACACCGCAGACAAACCTATCTTAAATATGTAATTTCGTTTTAATAGGTCTTTTAGTTTTTTTAGCTATGCTGTTCAGAATAACAAAGACCATTGGGTTCTTTGCGACCTGGAATTTTTCCTCACTATTTGCATATTAGTAGGAGAGAAAAGAACCTAAGTGAAAGTAAAAACAACTGAAGAAACACAATTAAGAAATATTCGTATTTAAATGAAATAGTAAGATGCAGGTAAACACTAAGGGTTTTAATTCTTTACACTACTTCAATGAGGCCTTCTAAATACTCTCGGAACAGACGAAGGAAAATAGCGGATTTGGAAATTGGAAGGCTTGGGGAAATCCTGGCTTATCGAGCTTGGGAGGGAACAGCAGAAGTTGTAAGCAGAGTTGTAACTTTGTAAGTTAGGTAGAGGGGTTGGGTTTCGTGTTGCGGTACCTCACTGATCACTTTGGGGTCAATATTTCAACAATACAGGACAAATATTATGACGAAAGGGCATTGTAAAGCAGAGATCAAAGAAATTATAGTTAATACTAGCTTACATATTGGTATGTATCAAAGATGGTGATACGAGGAAATAAAATATATTTGATTAATAATAATTATGATAGAAATGGTACATTTCATTAAAAAATAAATCTATTCAACATAAAGCTTTGAATATTTCACTATTTTCCAGGTATGATGGAAAAATATATTATTTTTCTATTTTTGAGGAGGGTTGCTTCAGCCCGAAAGTCTCCTTGTGGATCTGTCACTGGCCCCGACAGAACAGATTTTATTTTTTCCTCTAAAATTTTTTTAGACAATACTTTAAATACATGATGTAATAATTACGTAATATTTTTCTCGTATTAATTCTATGAAAAGGAATTGAGTTTCAGCAGTGAATAAAATATTTGGCAGGTGCTCAAGAAATTTGTCCACGTGGCCGCTATCTTAGCTCCATGGCTCTGTCCGATAATCTTCACAGTTCATGGCAGTATTATAAAATATTGACAAGCATCTCAGAAAGTCATAAAGATAAATCTAAATTTAAAACTACACTACGTAAAAACTACTAAACGTTCCAAAGAACCGCGCTATTTTTTGGGGATTTCATGAAAAAGTAATGGGGTAGATCAAATAAAATATAATGAAGAGAGACCAAGAATTTAAAAAAAATTATGAAAAATGTGCGTTCTCTGTTGCTAAAAAGAAAGACATATAATGAACTATACAAAACAATCATCCAGTCCAGATATCTTTCTTGGACTTGTACTATGAAAAATACTTCTAAGCCATCCATGATTACTTTAAAAAAAAGATTTGAAGAAAAAGATATGGTTTCGTCTGTAAGTAATGAAAATAGTGTATAAGAAACAGCAGAGTAGTGAAAA